TGGGCCACAGCAACCACTTACCATCAGGTGGACTGTGTGCTCGTTTGTCACCCGATCCTATAAAAAAATATCAAAATTAGTATTTACCGATTCAAGACAGTGTCCGTTGTTTTTTTTTTTTTTTTAAAGACACCATTTTTCGTAGATAATTCAAATTGTAATAATCTCTTAAATAGTATAAAATTAATAAAGTCGCCATCTTTGTCTGCCCTCATCATTTCTGTTTTACCACTTACTACTTCTAAACCACGCCACGGATGATAAGAGTTTCAGTTGCATTTGGAGAATATTTTACGGCAGGATAGTATGTACAATATATTTTAATGAAGTTTTTGTATAGTAAAATATTGGTTGACTCTGCAGGCCATCCCTGGAACTACCCGCTGATTTCAAATGCAAGGCGCTCCAAATTTCACCAAATTATGTTGCGAAACCTCAGTTATGTTAAAAAAAAACGTTTTTTTTTTCAAATTCTTTCTCCTATGGTATCTCACGAACGAATGAACAATTTTTTTCCAAATGGCGTTCGACATCAATTTTTGTTGTTAAGAGATGATTAGTTTTTGAAATCGTGTTATTCAAAATTTTCATTTTTGACATTTCTCAAAATATACACGTCAGAATCAGTTCATATTGTCACCAAATGTATTCCACATTGAGATCTTTAGGACGCCACATCTCATTCAATCAAGACGTTCAAAAGTTATGAAAGGTTTACGTAATCACACACAGACACACACGCGCGCACAGACACACTCACACACACACACAGAGAGAGAGAGAGAGAGAGAGACACACACACACACGCGCACACACACACACACACACACACACACACACACGCGCGCGCGCGCGCCCACACACACACGCGCGCACACACACACACACACACACACACACACACACATACACACACACACACACACACACACACACACACACATACACACACACACACGTCAGAATAGCTTCCTGTGACCTCAAAACACCGAGATCTGATGAAAACTCGATTTTCGAAAATCGGGGTGAAACCAATAACTATTATTGAAAATTTTCAATTTTCTTGGCGGAAAGTTAAAAAAATAATAGTTTTGTATTCAAATCATCAAAAATCTATTTTCGAATGGTTAACTGACTTACGCTGGCTAAACCATAAGAGATACATCAAAATAATCTTAATTTTATAGTTCTTCAAAAATCCTAAAGAAACGTCTGCGACAGCATATTTCTATTGTCTATGTCCTACAGTTACAGGTTGACATACAATAACCGTTTTTAGATATAAAATATTAATTAAAAATATTTAATAAGCTTTTTTCCCTAATTCAGTATTCTCATTTATCCAGATAAATATAATAGTTACCTTGAGCATTTAGTTAAAAGATTCTTTTATATTCATAATTAAATCCCTTCACAATTACACTGCTGAAGGAATTCCACAAAGCATAATCCTGCCATCTTCATCCATCGACTTTTTGCATACCTTATAAGGTCATCACTCCATCTAGTGGGACACGAGAACCCTTGTTCTCCATCAGGTGTCGGTTCTTCGAGCTATGTGGTCGGTCCATTGCCACTTCAGCTAACTAATCCGTTGAGCTTTGTCAGTTACTCTGGGTTTTACTAAGGATATCCTCATTGGTAAGTCTATCATACAAAAAACCTAGAGCATAAGCTTTTCCATAGCTTTTTCATTGACCTCGATTTCCCTATACGACCTTTCTCCTTCTGTTATGTCATTTAAATTAATACTTCAGAAATATCCAAGATTCAAAGTTGCAAGTGAAATACTCATAGTGAAATTATTGGCAGGCACGCCACAGCCGTGGCCTCTTACATTGCATTCACAAGAATACCGGAATTTTTGAGAAAAGAAAAAACTCATGAAAATTATAATCTTTGTGTTAAAGAAAATAACATTCAGGAATTGGTCAAAAATGTTCAACACGAAATTAATTACATAAGATATAAAACTATACCTTGTGGTTGGGCGGCGGGCCAAAGGGTTCCCGAGTGCGATTCCCAGGTTGAGCCTTGACCCTATTATGCGAGATGTTATACTAAGTGGACTGTATACGCGATGGCTTCTTATGCCTCAATAAGATGGCGAATGTGACACGCGGCACCTTAGACAATGCACTCGCTCTTCCAAATCTATTGCTTGCCAAGGTTAGGAGGGGATTCTACTTGAGCATATTAGGAGAAATAAAATGGGGCGGGTTAACTAATAAACAAAATGCTCAAGCCGGAGCATTATTACGGGAAAACACTTACCCGGGTGTGATTCTGGTGATGGCGGACGACACTTCCGCTGCGGTGATGCGATGTGAGGTGGGTTCTTCTGGGACGCCCCAGAGATGCGATCCAGGCCAGTGGTGCGAAGGAAGAGGCCTCACGAGGGCCGCGCGCGAGCCTTTATTGTCTCGGATTTTCCCATCAAGCGGCTCGTTCGGGCGCGCTTCTCATTGTTCGAAAGAACCGCGTCACCTTATAGAATACTCCCATTTCTCGTTTCAGTGTTTACGGAAGGGATATATTAGGTCAAATGATGGGTAAGCGCTTGGCAATATACCCTCGAATAAAATTAAAATACACAAATCGTTTCCGCCTAACCACCCCCCCCCCGGTTTGAAGGGTCCCCTTCAAAATAACTAACGCTAAGATTAAACCTAATTTTCCACTACAATTTCTAATCTAGAAAGCTAATTCAGATTATTGAATAGGCAAAGGGCACAAACGGACAACAGGGCGCATGTAAGACCCAGTCGTGGTCCTAAAGCGAGCTACCCTACTTACTCCGTCGGACCCGGGAAAAAATTCTTCGACGATCCCTAATGGCCACTGGAGAGGCGGCGTATTCTTCTTTGTGAGCACAACCACAGTTCCGATAGTTAAAGGTTCAGTTGTTGTGTTCCATTTTTGCCGAGACTGCAACGTATGCAAGTATTCCATCTTCCATCGTTTCCAAAACGACTGCACCAACCGGTCCAATAATTTATGGCGTGCGGAAATATTAAGTTTGTTCTCGTCCATGTCTATGGCTGGCAGATATTTCAAAGGCGTCAAATTCAAAAAATGTGCTGGAGTTAGAGCCAGCGGCTCCGAGGGGTCACTTGACACCGTACGATAAAGGGGGCGACTATTCATGACGCACTCAATTTGAGCGAGAACAGTACTTAACTCTTCGAAGGACAAAATTTGATCTCCTATTACTCGGTATAAATGACTCTTTAGACTCTTAATATTAGTCTCCCAGTTTCCCCCAAAATGGCTCGCGGCCGGGACGTTCAGAGACCACTCGATGCGGTTCTCGGCTAGGATATGAGCGAACTCCGAATTATAGTATTTACTGGTTAAAAGCTCATGTAGTTCTGATAAAATACGTTTCGCGCCGACGTAGTTTGTACCGTTATCCGAATACAATTTACTTACAGGGCCACGGCGGGAATAAAATCTTTTAAATGCACCCATGAAGCCCGCTGTGCTTATATCACCAACGAGTTCTATATGCACAGCCTGAATAGTCAGACATACGAAAATGCAAACGTAAGCTTTTTTGGATCTTATACCACGCCCGCGAGTGAGCGTGACCTTAAACGGACCAGCAAAGTCAGACCCGGTGTGCATAAAGGGCTTTACGGATTGTGTTACTCGACAAGACCTAAGGTCCGCCATTTCCGGAAATGACGGCTTAGGACGTACTCGAAAGCAAGCCATACATCTGTGCACCCGATTGCGGATTAAATTACGTGCTGAAAGAATTCAATAATTCTGACGCAAGATTGACATCAGCAAGTCGGGGCCAGCGTGAGAATTAAATTTATGGTGGTAATCTACTAATAAATTCATGATGTGGTCCTAACGCGGCAAAATTATAGGGTGCTGTCGGTAGAAACTCAACTGCGAGTTAGACAAGCGCCCACCTACCCTGACGATTCCATCTTGTAAAAATGAGTTAAGACGTTGAAAGGCGCGACTACACGTTCTATTCGATTGTAATCTTGTAATTTCATTGAAAAATGCGCACGTTGAAGTTCACGCAATACTAGCAACTCGGCACAACTACAATCGGACGTAACGATATACGAACAAACACTGCTTATCGACTTTTAAACTACAAAGGCTACAATGTAACGACAAAAATGATTTAAATCTAACACAGCGTATTGCTGTGGCTTGGCTAAACTACACTATTTTATTTTTATTTTTATGGAACACTAACAAGTTAAACAAACACTAAGAAAATACTAATATATAATTCTATCAACGACAAACTAATATTTAAATAATAAAACTATCTAATCACAAGTATGCAATTTCTAAGCGACTAAACTATAATTATTAATAAGCGGTAAAACTATGCGATGAACGCTTCGGAACAACACTGCTTATGGCTTGTTGCTCGCGAAGCCTCTCTTCCTCCCGCCAAGCAAGATTGGCCTCAGCAGGTCTACTCCGTAGCCTCCAGTGAGGCACGCTCGCCACGGCTCGGCGTCTACTTGTGCCGCGACCGTGACCAGTAATGTCATATCTACCAACTTTTTGGTAGATCTACCAATTTTCACTTCAGTCTAACTATCTACCACCTAGATCTAAAAACTACCTATTTTAATAATTAGTTTAACATATCACCACTTTGAATTATTATGTGTTGCGTGAGCCATGCAAAGATGCGTCAAGCTGTCCAGCGTACATAGAGTCCAGGCTATAAACGAAGCCCAAAACGTCTGGGTGACTATAAAGAATTCCAGTCTTTCCTGGATATAAAACCCCTCAAACTTCTACACACAGCTCAAACAAGATGGCTGTCTCTACTTCCTGCGGTCAAACGGCTTTTAGAACAGCTTCCAGCTTTAAAGTTATACTTCCAAAATGCTGTTTTGAATGACAAGCTACTTGCAGCTCAGATCATCCATGTGAAGTGGATGGATCCTTCAACAGAGCTATACTTAAATTTTTTGAATTATGTGTTGCTCTATTTCCATGACATTAATAAAGAAATGCAATCAGAAAGTCCTAAACTTTATTTGTTATATGAACGGATTTTTACAACATACAAAACTATCTTGGAATGTTTTGCTAAACCAGAATTATTGCAGCTGACTGAAGATGAAAAAAACAGTAGAAAGGATCTTAACTTGGATTTAGAGAACAAAATTTTGAATTTAGAATATGAAAATAAACAACACCATGTATCAATTGAAGAAATATACCTTGGTGGCAATGTTATTTCCCTCTTATTGAAACAATACTTAGGAATGAACTGGAAATAGTACAGTTTAAAGAAAAATGCATTCTGTTTTATATGGAGAGTGTAAAACAAATAAAGCAGCATTTTGTTTTGATGAAAAGCAAAGAAATGTCTTAAATTTATGAATCCTAAACATATCATTGAAAAATATGCATGCTATTGCTCATTTAGGAATTCAGTTTTCAGGCAAGTTAAACATAATTAATTATTAATGTTGTCCACTCTAGAATATTTTTTTTATTTACATTACATTTTTATTTTTAGAACTTTGCTCAGAAAACATGAACGAATTGCACCGAGAGTGGAGATTATTAAGAAACACGACATTTCATTTCACAGAAAAAAATGTGGATCCTACACCTGAAGAAATCTGGAAGCATGTTTCATCCATTAAAAAAGGAGACCAGTCTCTAATGTTTCCCCTGCTATGCGAATTCGTGAGAAAATTACTCGCACTTCCACATACTAGCGCCAACGTTGAGAGATTGATTAATAATATGAAAACCTTCCAGAGAAATAGAATTTGCACGGAGACTCTAGAGGGATTGTAGCGTTCTAAAAGATTCATAGCAAACAATGGGCAGCCTAGCGCAGAACATTTAAAAATTTTCAATAAAAATATGTATGGTTTTGAAAAATAAACATTTTAAGAGCAGTTAAAAATCTTCTCAGTTGAGGTGGTAGATCTACCAATTTTGCATTTTACATTCTACGAACTTCTACCAACATCTGGAACATAATCTACTAATTTTATAAAATTCGGGTTGGCAACATTGAGCGTGACCTCGATCCGCGCCGCGCACGCTTTCGCTAACGAGATCGATTCGAGTCCCGGGTTGCGAAACACGTGCACTGAATATGTCACCCGACTGGTTGCGGGGTGATCTAATTTTGCGAATTTGGGCCTTGTTCGCAGTGTCGGTAAACCTAGCTCCAGGGCTATCCCTACTCGGCGTTCCCTTTGGCTGCGACGAAACTACAACAGGCTTACTTACAACAGACTCTAACGTTTTGCTTCTCGACCCTTCGCATATTTCATTACCCGAGCTAAGTAAAGAGGGGATGTTCCCCTCCTCTATTTCCCGAAAATTGCGAGTCAATAATTCGAGAGGTTCGACCGCGACGGTGCAACAATAGGATGTTGCCGAAATATTATCCATGATAAGGGCGGAACTAACGATGACGTAGCCCAAGACGGTCTCCAGTGCGTAAGGCGCGGTATGCGAGGGGTTGCCCCTGACTTTATTGTGTAACAAAGGATGAGGGAAAAGCGATGCTCCAATGAGCATATCTATATCTCCGGGGACGGCTTAAGTATCGTCTGCCAGAGTCAAATTCTCAAAATCAATCATTGCCGAGGTGTCGACCGAAACGGTTGGCAGACGCTCGGTGACTTTATCTACTACTAATGCATTTATATTAAAGTTAATAATACGATCTAGCCAAGAATAAAAATTCAAATTTATAGGGTGGATAAGTCGCTCACGTCCGTAGGCTTTGATCACCTATTCCTAGGCCCACCCTACACGTGTCCCCTGGGTGGTGCTAAATGAGCGACAAGCCGATAGCACAGATTCGGCTCCTCACCGTGGTAGCGGCGTAAAATATACTACCCCATACTTCGCACCATGAGGACCCAAATAAACGAAATGGCCCCGAGTTCCCGGCGCCCCCTTAATGGGGCAGGGGTGCGAAGAATCTCCGGGAGGAAAACCGGCGACGAGGTTCGCCACACGTCACGTTCTGTCGTTCTGTCGTTTCCCGGATGGGCAAAAAGTAGATTGCAGAGGCCCGTCTGGCTACTTTGAACGTATGTAGAGCAATGAAGGATAAAATGGATGAAGTATGCGATATGATGTATGATAGAGGAATAGATGAGTTATGTGTAAATGAGACGAAAAGGAAGGGGAAGGATGTCACTACACATGGCATGTATACCACATACTGGTCTGGTGTAGACGAGATCGAGCGGGCATGCCAGGGAGAAGGTATCATTCTTTCAGAAAGAATGGGCTAATGTGTGAAAAAGTATGATTGTGTAAGTCTAAGACTGCAATGGATACGAATGAAAGTGGGCTTAAAGAAGTTGTTTGTGTTAGGGGTCTACGCCCCAGACATGTCTAAGCCCATTTATATCCGAGAGCAGTTTTGGGAAATGCTAAGGATGGTGTAAACGAAATGTAAGGGAAATGAAAATATTATTATGCTAGGAGATTTTAATGGAAAAGTTGGTTTGAGGAGGATTGGTTATGAAAGGATATTGGGAACGTTTGGTGATGAAAGTATAACCATACCATTCTCATAATGGTGAAAGTCTCCTCGCCGTATGTATGGAAAAGAATCTTTTCGTGACGAACACTTGCTTTCGCCACAAGAAGATTCACATGTATACTTGGGAAAGAGATATAGAAGCATGATAGATTTCATAATTGTTGATGAAAGATTGAGGGGCGCAGTGGTAGATACAAGGGTTTACCGGGGTTCTAACGTAGGAACGGATCATTATTTGGTTTTATGCCGAATTAACGGTCTATTCAGGCGTTGGCGCCATCGGCCATCTGTGTCTACCACTGTGTTACAGCGTATTAGAACAGAAAGTTTACAAGATGAAGGTGAGAAAAACAAGTTCAAATGTAGACTGAAAGAAAATATAAGTGGTTTGGATGAATTATGTACGAAGGAGTTAGACTTGGAGAATGTATGGCAAATTGTAAAGAAAGGTTTAGTGTATGCAGCTACCGAAGTATATAGTGTTAGTAAGAGAAATAATGAAAGGAAAAATAATAAGTTATGGTGGGATGATGAGATACGTATGGAAGTTGAAGCAAAGAAGAAAGCATGGCTAGATTTACTAGCAACAAAGGCTGATAATTCTAGCGGTACGAATGATGAGATTGAAAGAAAAAAGGCAGAGTTTAAACATCGAAATAAGAGATTAAAAGAAGTAGTTGAAAGGAAAAAGCAAGAAAGAACGGATAAGAATAATAGAAGAATATCGGATAACTTCCAGGCAAATATAAAAATGTTCTGGAAACTTGTGAACTGCTAGGGGACATTTAAAACAGCCTATAATGAATGCTATAAGAGACGAGAATGGCTATATTCTAAATGATGAAGTTTTGAGTTTAAAGAAATGGAAGGAATATTTTGAAACGTGTTAACTAAATGAAGTAGAAACTCCGAAAGTAGAGGAATGAGGTAGAGTGATAAGTATAGATGAAATAATGAAAGCAATGAAAAGCATGAAAGCAGGTAAGGCTGCCGGATACGATAGTGTTTCACTCGAAATGCTAAGGGCTGGAGAGGAGGTGGTGGCAGGCCTTCTGCACACCTTGTTTAATTTATGCTAGGAACTGAAGCGGGCACCGGTAGACTGATGTAAATCCGTGATAGTCCCAGTATATAAAGGCAAAGGGTCGCAGCAGGACTGTAAAAACTACCGTGGCATCAGCCTTCTTAGCATTGTGGGAAAACTGTATGCTAAGGTACTGATTGAAAGGGTCATGAAAGAAACTGGTGGACAAATTTGGAATGTGCAAGCGGGATTTAGAAAGGGAATGGGATGTACAGATCAAGTCTTTTCCATGCGCATGATCTCGGAGAAGTTTTTGGCCAAAAACCAAAAGTTTTTTGTGCGTTCATGGACTTGGAAAAACCTATGACAGAGAGGATAGGGATGTGCTATGGCAAACAATAAACTCATTTGGGTTGAGCGCTGGCTTGATCAGGCATTGGAGTCTCTTTATAGGGACTCTAGTGCTTGTGTTAGGATCAGCGGGGTCTACTCGGACTGGTTTGACATCCATAAAGTTGTCAGACAGGGCTGTGTGGCTTCCCCATGGCTGTTCAACCTATTTATGGACAGTTGTTTGCAAAAAGTTGAAGAATGCGGATTAAGAATGTGTGAGTTAACCGGCAAATGCCTTTTATACGCCATGATCAAGTTATTCTTGCGTCGTTGGCGGACGAGTTGCAAATGATGGTTACATTAATAAACAGATCATTTAAAGAAAGGGGTATGAAAGTGAACGCAAATAAGACGAAGGTTATGGTTTTTGAAAGAGAAGAAAGTAAAACTATTTGAGAAATAAGAATAAAAGGGGAGTTGATCGAGTAAGTAGATGAGTTTGTATATTTGGGTTGCGTATTTAGCAGGGATGGGAGATATGATAAGGATATAGAATGACGAGTGAATGTGGGAAATAGAATAAATGTGGCTCTGCACTCTATTGTGAAGAGTCAAAATGTGTCGAAAAAGGCACGTATGGCAATTCACAATGCTGTGTTGGTCCCTACTTTAACGTATGGTAGTGAAAGTTGGGTGTGGCAGAAGAAGCACGAGAGTTGAATAAATGCAGTAGAAATGCGGTCTTTAAGGGGTATTTTAGGGCTGAATCTGAATGACAGGGTGAGAAATTGTGTGATAAGAGAAGAGTGTGGTCTGCAAGATGATGTTGTAACCTGGATTAAGAAAGGAATGCTTCGGTGGTTTGGTCATGTGGAAATAATGAATGAGGAAAGAGTGACAAAGAAGGAGGCGAGAGAGGTGTGTCAGGATCATGCCAAATGGAAGTCTGTAGTCTCTGCCTACCCTTCTGGGTGACAGGCGTGAGTGTTTATGTATATGTATGTTTATTATAGAGCCCTGGGTAATTTTATTAGTACCTCCGATGCCTTTGACTACGGGACATGAAGGTGTTTTATTTATTAGCAATCCTAAACGCTGGCAACATCGTCGCTTTATAAAGCTACTCTGGGATCCGCTGTCTAGCAACGTACAGACACTTTGTTCGTTTCCACGCGAATCTCTTACTACGATACGGGCTGTACCCAGCAGCAAGGTGAAAGAAAACTGCGTTCCCGTATTCGACAGTGAGCGCAGGGCGACGTCACCCGGTCGACCGTTCGAAGCGTCGACTTTAGTATGTGTAGTTTCCTTGTCCGAATTGTTCGACGCGAATATGTTGTCACCTTTTGAAATGTAATAACGTGTGATGTCTGCTGGCGCACTTGTTACACACG